GTGTGTGTGTGTGTGTGTGTGTGTCTTTACAGCACATCCTGATAGTCCAGAGGCAGCTCTCAGTGCTGGAGGAGGATCTGGAGGAGTTTCGTCAGGCTCTCAGACAGTACATGGAGTGTGCCTGCGCCCAGACTGGATGTCTACAGTCAGTTCTTATTTTCCTTGTTCACTTTGCATCAGGGATTTCTTCTCTTTGTGTTTTTTTGTTTTTTACTGAGGTTTAGAAAGACGCGCGTGAGAGCAAAAAAAAAGCATAAAATAAAAATGAACCAGTCCCCACAAAACAAGAGGTTTAAAATTGAATCATATTTAGATCGGTATGTTAGCAGGTTGATAAAATCTGATTTAAAACTCATTCTCATTCTCAAGATGTGTCATCAAGAGAGCAAAATAATTAATGCTCATCTTCAACTTTATCCAAACTTAAGACTCAATGGACAATATGACAGCTCCTCAAAAGTGAAGCCAAAGTGTCTTGATTGCCCCCTGTGTTTATTATTTATTATTTATTTTGATGGTATGTTTGCGTTTAATTGGTTTTTTGAATCTTAAAAAAAAGGTCCGCAAATGATTCATCTGTAAATTAATTTTTATCAAAATCTCGTTTGGAAAAATTTACAATCTTTTGAACAAAATTGAGTAAAACCTAATAAATAGAAACTGAGCTGCAGTGTAATGTACTGTCATCACCTCAGACATGCTCTGGTTTTAGTTTTGTATCCGACCACTACATGTGGTTTCGATACGTGAAACAACATTTGCATTTTCGTCATCTCCAGTCATATATTTGAAATTTAAGTTCTTCAGCCATGTCGCCCGAATCGGTTAAATTCAGCTTTAGCAGAGCAAACTGAATCATTTATAAACCAAAATGCAGCCGCCTGAAGAACTGTGTGACATTTACATTTTTGTCTTGGTAATTTCTCCAATTACTCAGTCATGTTAACTCATTTTCAAGTTTACACGACTCTTAAATCTGAAGCAGAACATTTCATAATCGTCATAATTCCAGTGTGAAGCCACAGAAAAGATGATTTGACAGATCCACGGTGCCTGCGCTCGGTCTGAGTGTGGAAAACAAGAGGATGTGTAAGGGGACATGATGTCGCACACTAATTAGTGATTGCATGACTTGAGCGCTCTCTTGTTTTGCATTTGGCAGCATCGCAGTGCAGCGACTGGCTAATGAATCACGCTTCATTCTCTATGAATTCTGGGAGCACAACAACTTGTGGAAGAAGTAAGTATTCGCCTGCACCATATGCATCATGACTAATGCACCTTGACCTTGCTCACATGAATCCCAAAATATTTTCTGTACTCAGTGTGAACCCGCTGAGGGGAGGTCTGGTTCCCACTGTGTTTAGAGACACTGAGTCTGTGAAGCATTAAGAAAACCAGACGACCATCACTATGACTGTGACCAGTGATCAGTGAGACCATAGATAAAAGGGAAACTGATACTAGAAACTTTAACTGCATTTTTTAAAGTATTTATGTCTTAACATGTGGCTACATATATTTTGTTCAAGATGCAATGTATAGTTGGTTATTGCCATACATTCAAAATGAAATTATATATATAAAAAACGCTGCTATACACTTGTTTTTAATTTGCTAACGGATATTTGGATATTAGACATTTTGTGCATCCCTGATAAATAGAAAATCTGCTGCTAAAGATCATAAATCTACAAACATTAAATCCTTTACAATGCATATACGTTTTTATCGTAAGTGTATATACATGCATGTTTAAATGGTTTAATTCCAAATACTAATGTCTTCCATTCTGATTTTCATCCTTTTCTCCAGCCACCTGCAGACCAACTACAGTAAAACCTTTCAGAGGGGAAACGTGGACTTTCTGGAAACTCCTGAGACCCTAACCACCATGCTGGTTCCTGGTAAGAACATTCATTCATTACAGTCCTCAGCCCTCTTCAGCCTCAGGCAACCTCTCACTGCATGCTGTGCAGACAAATGATGCATGAACCCACTGAAGTAAATTTAAAATCCAAGCCACGATGCCATCGATGTAAGAAAATCACTTCATGTTCCCACTCACAAGGGGCGAGAGCGGTGCTGAATAAATTTGTCAGAGCTCACTAAGACACACAAATACACAGAGGACAGCGAGCACAGTGTCTAATTGATTGGGGTCACATCAGAGGTCTGCATCTTTATTTTCTCTTTGTCTCCTCCTCAGCGTCGTGGTGGGTCCTCAACAACAACTGAAATCAGACATGGCCCCTCACTGATCGTCACTGATGAGTGCAGAGAGCAAACGGTCACCTGTCAACACGTCAGGAAGTCCACAGTGGCATGCACACATACACACACACACTCACACACACAGTAATTCAACACAACTCGTGCAGTCATGGTGATAGGAATAGATTTTATGACCTCCACGTTTCGTCATAGTTAGGTGGTAAGGGAAATAGCCCGCGTCTGTGTGTTTGTCTACACCCCTACATGACGCTCTGACATGTGAAAAGCAATGACCTGATCTGACATTATCACTGTTTTTGACGTGACATCATCTGCAGCCCGAAGTAGATCGTGTGTGTGTGTGTTTCATAGATGACCTTTTGGGGACAAATATCAAACTAAAGACCAGTTAATTGGGGACGGTTTGAAAAGGTTGATTTATGTGTGAGGGCAAGTCTCCAGGAAACGAATGCAGGTCTATGTGATGTTCCCAAAAGTGACCTGTGATGACATGTTTCTTTGTGTGTGTGTGGGTGTTTGTGTCCTCCTGTACAGCTATCTTTGTGAGGACCACTTTGAGCCTAGGACCACGAAGTGAGGACATTTTGGGAAAGTGAGGACATTTTGGCTAGTCTTCACTTTCTGACCCCACTTTAATGCACAATTTGGGGGTTAAGACTTGATTTTAGGGTTAGGCATTTATTTTGGATGGTTAGGTTGAGGGTGTGGGGCTTGGGAATGCATTATGCCAATGAGTGTCCTCACTAAGACAGAAGTACAAAACTGTGTGTGTGTGTGTGTGTGTGTGTGTGTGTGTGTGTGTGTGTGTGTGTGTGTGTGTCTCCCCATAATGTATTTTTAGGTTAGTGTGTAGATAATTAGTAGTTAAGGATTCAGTTAAGAGTGTAAGTCTCCAGGAAATGAATGTAAGTCAACAAATTATATCCTCTGAAGTCATGGAGACGTGTGTGTGTGTGTGTGTGTGTGTGTGTGTGTGTGTGTGTGTGNTGTGTGTGTGTGTGTGTGTGTGTGTGCTCGTGCAAGATAGACAGAGAGGTATAATGAGATATAATTGTTTCAGTTGTAGCAGCTCATTAAACCAATATTCTGTGTTTAATGTGTCAAATTGAGATTAAAATAAATCTGTTGGTCATAAATAAAGACGATATATTGTTGCGTATGTTGTGTGTATATGTGTCTCACTCTTTAAGGGGAGATTGCCCTGAAATTTTTGTCCCTGTTTTTTGGCGTCTCATTATATCTCCAAAATGACATGAAGTGTTGTCTGACTAACAGCTGAGATGTTCACATCTGGGCTTTCTTCATCTTCCAGTGTCAGAAATAAAGACTTTTAATCTAATAGAGACCAAATCTAATTGGTCCATTTGCAGACTGAAGACGATTTAATTTAAATTTAAAGTGTTAATTTGTGACCGCAAGCTGGCGAAAGGCTCATTATCTGACTCCGTGCTCTTTTAGCTGCTAAAACTGAGCCACATTCACATCCAGTGTGTTTGCAACTCAAGTGACTGCAAATCCTGCCACCTAGAGAACAAATTACAGAACTGCAGCTATAGGAAAATATACTGCTCAGAATTAGCCTGGCCTTGCTATTGTATCGAGAGAAAAAGTATTTAGGATAAATGATCTTGAATTTAGTGTTTTATATATAATCTGTGGGTCATAATTCCTCAAAAATACTCAAGAAATATTTTTAAAGTCTCAAAAAGTTTTAATCCAAATCCGAGTTTGTCACAACTGAGACACAAACCATGTTGATGTGGTTCAAACAGATTTGATTGAGCATTTGCAACAACCCCGCAACTTTCATCACTTTAAATTCAAATATTGCTAAACTTGTGAAGACCCTGTAAACCCTGTGAAGGGTTTGGACTGAGATCTGCTGATTCCTCAGTGTCCCTGTAGCATGCTCGTTCTGTGACCTTTGTCATTTCCAAATGTTCTTTCCCATCATTTCCTGTCTGCAAATAAAGGCATAAAAATAGGTGACCAAAAATAAATTAAAGGAAGAAAAAAATGGTGCTGTGATCAGTGCAGGGAAGTACGACACATCATCTTTTATCGAACTGAGCCTCATCTATTTCAAACCAGTAAGAAGAGCACAAGAAAGTACAGAAATAGCAACTCTCAAAAATAACTGCATCTGTTGTTTTGCACAAATCTTGTTTGTTTTCATTCAAGACCTCTTATAGAAACTAAATAATTGATTAGGAATATATATATTCAGGGGCCTTTTAATGAGTAAGTTTGTAATGATGAAAAATAAAACTCATATTAAGATGATATTTAAAGAACAGGGCTGGTTCTTTTTAAGACAATGACTCATTAGTTTTTGAAGTTATGACTCATGAAATCACACTTTGTGGGTCAGGTTGATAAAACTCATCCAAATATGATGTGAAAATGATTGTTTGGCTCTACCTGAGAAAAGGGAGATTAATGATGAGACTTCCATCATGTAAGACACAGCAGTAAATAGTATTTTAAGATTGTGAGGAATGATCTGATCTTTCATTATTTTACAGAGTCTATGTGAATATAACTAATTATGTGCATCTTAATGAGTTTCCCTAATTTTATTTAATGACAATGAATGTAAATTAAAACTATAAATTAGTTATGAAATGTGATCTGCATCAGTAACTGCTGGATAGCAAATGATAAACAGAGAAGCCAGAGTGAAGACGTCAGCAGGAGTAAGAGGGGAAGACTACACTCAGGATACATTATTAATGTGTGAGAACTAAGCAGCATTTAAATGTAGCTGCAGCAGAACAGCACAATATAACATCCTGTTCATCTATAGTCGTCCAGTGAATGTTCATGTTTCACAAGTTCACAAAGTAGACTTCAAGTAAACTTAAAGCCTGACGAAAAGTATACTTTAGTACAGTTCTTGCACATTAAACAACAAATTCAACAATTTAAAGAAATGCTTTTCAATTTGTCAATTAATGCAGTGATGAATACCAACCATGTGCAACTTCAATGTGTTCCTCTTCTGTCTGGATTCCTGTATGTGCCTTCAAAAACACATTAGTCCAAAACAAATCACAGCCGACAAAGACAACAAGCAGTTTTTACATTTTATTGATAAATTATCATTTTTAAAAAGACCCACAAGCCATCGTATCCTTCCGCCTGGCACTACACTTTTTAAAGTCCTGAATTTCAACTATGTACAAAGAGTGTTTTTTATATTATTTTCTGCTTCATCATCATCATCATCATCATCATCATCACATTCAAAACAAGGTTAGAAGTTGGAGCTGTGCCCACTGGTAAAAGGTCAAGAGACAGGGTGCTGAGTGTACAGCGATGCTAGCTAGCACTAGAGTTCACTGGAGGTCAGAGAGAGGCGATATAAGCTGCGAGGAGGAAGAGGAGGAGGAGGAGGAGGAGGAGGAAGAGGAGGAGGAAGAGGAGGAGGAGGGAGGAGGAGGAGGAAGAGGAGGAAGAGGAGGAGGAGGAGGAGGAGGAGGAAGAGGAGGGTTTACATTCTAACGCACAGGCAGAAAGAGCAAAGACAGGAACACCATACGCATCGGCTACCACACTGAAACAGGAGAAAAATAACACTCTGTAACTGAAAAACAAAATCAACATGCAAACGTGAGTCTCACATTTTTCCACCAGTGAGAAGGCAACGAAAAGCGCAGTGACGGGCGCAGTGACGGGCGCAGTGACGGACGCAGTGACGGAGGTTGAAAATAACTCAGGGAGGAGGGTTATTGCTATTGTTCAAAGCTGCATGGCACAAACAAATAAACAAACTCCTGTTGATCTGATGCTCTTCTCGTCTAATACTGGGCAGCAAAGTTGGCACGCATGGATATTTAAGGGCGATTTCTTTTTAAAAGTCGATCATCATCGAGAGTTAAAATCATATAGCAATACTATGTCAGTGTACACAGGCAAGGTAAATGGGTACAATACACTTTGAGTATGTAGCTTTCTGTAGCTGGAGTTTTAACTAGCAGCAAAACAACACATACAATTGCATATAATCGTAGTGCAATGGGCAAACTGTTCTTATTTTGGTCTGGTCAGAAACAAAAGAAATCAACAGGGTACCGTCAGTTCAGCAGGCTGCTGATCAACTAAATAAAGACGCTCCACAAAGACCAAATCCAGTCAGTTCGCTAAACGATCATTTCTAAATCAGCGCAGGAAACAAATCATTTTGCATTGCTAAAAAAAAAAATCACAATTTTTATCTTGATTCTGTATTTTGGAGGATTCTGCAAAACCAGGGCAGGATTTGAGTCTGTGTGGAGCAGGAGGAGGTCGATCGACGTACGAGAGGTTTGTTCAGTGAGCTAAAAACATTCCGAGACTCAAACGCAACGGGATACATCTCCCAACACACACACACTAACACACATACTTCAACCTCGTCAGCGCACTCTGCAGACGTTCCACTCCACTGAACATGACCGCTTTCAGATCTGAACCTAAATACTGGGGTTTGATCGTCCGGCCGTACAGGGCTGTGCTGAGCCGTGCTGAGCCGTGTCCATCCTAGGCAAAGCTGTTCTCCGGGTAGCTCACTTTGATTGCTCCCCAGTAGCAGGCTCGTATCAGACAGATGAGGCCCAGCAGGTAGGCGAATGCCCACGACACGTAAGTGGCGTTGTAACGACTGGCAAAGTCCCGAGTACCAACCTGGAGAACAGAATGTAGATTTTATTTCTTATTTCAAATGAAGTAATGTCAGTTTGCACACAGGCAAGGTAAATGGTTAGATTTACAAATTGATTTTAAAATTGACTGAACTGATTTCCATTAAAGTTCGTGGAGGTTGGGGCATGACCGAGGGAGTACATTCAGATAAAGGGCAGATCCAGGATTTTTCATCTTTCTTTTCATTTCACATCTTTTTACTCTGCTGAGAAAGACGAACAAACCTAAATGTACAACTTTGCATGTTAGCAGACTCAAAATCAAAACACGAACAAAAGATCTAGTTTGATGACATCGTGCAGCAACGTGGAATCATGGAAATTGTTGCTTTCACCACCATTGAGGATGAAAATCTACCTGCAATTTAGGAGTAAACTCTATTCCCAGATGAGGTGAAATGTCCTGTTACCTTAAATTAAATTGGGGATTTATAAGTTTGAACATTGTTGGAAACACTTTGCATAATGTCAGTACACAAGTCAACATGATAAATAACAGGTCTGGTTGTTTTTAGACATTTTAATATGGATTTGTTACTTATCATATCTTCACTGCATTTTATTAATGTGCAACACTTTATTCAACTTCATTTTGCCTTGATTTGAGCCTCATACAAAACAATAATATAAATAATTATATATAATTTATAATCAGTCATCAGAAAAACATTAACATACTGCAACAAGCTCAGTAGCACCGAGTTTAAATATGAGAGTATAATTCCTTGAGATTATTATGAAGTGATTATGTTTCTAATATGATTATAACACATTGTGAAAGTCTGATAAACTGTGAACACTGAACAATATGTTGTTGTTGGTACAAAATACAGTTATTGTTTATGGAACGATTCAGTGGATTAATGGGTAAAGCATAATTGTGTATTTATGTAATATTATGAGAATGAAAGTACAAAAACATTTCACAACTTTTGCAATTTTTATCCATCCATCTACAATTGTGTACATTTTCTAACTGGTTAATAATAAAACGTTTTTCGGGTTAGCTAACCAGTTTCTTTTTTTTAGCCCTGCAGCTCTATGGGTGGTGCTCAATCCATTACCTTGTTCCAGACTGAACCACTGTGCTGAGAAAATACATACAACATACAAAGAGGATAAAGCCATACTCACAGTTAAACCCACACCAATGAAAATGCAGATCATTCCTATGGTTATGTAAGCACAGCAGCGCCTCCTAGGGAGCGCACTACCAACAGAGGATCTGCAGGCAGAGACAGAAAAGCAGAAACAGGTGGAAAACAAGGTCAGTATGTGAAGAGATGAGGAAACACGCTAAATGCACTTCATCTCACTTTTATGAGGATATAATTAGAAAGACTAAAAATTAACTCTAAATATCAGAAACGGTTTCTTAAATATGTCCAACTCCGTCTTTCCCCCAGTGATCTCACTCCACATCACCCTGACATTGTGACGCATGAAAGCACCGCAGGCCGGTCACATGAGCAGCTCCATACAGACTCCATGCAAACACATGCACTGGCGTCACTTTCTTTTTTTCCTTCAACATTACTTTATTTTTCTTCTCTCTCTGAGCTCTCACATGCCTCTCATGTGATGGGACTCAGAGCGCTCTTCAGGAATGGTCGGTATTCAGATGGTTTAGGGAAGCCGGGTCACATGATCATCTTACCTTCTTCTTCAAACTCTCTCCCACTTCCACATTTCCCTCAACTAAAGATTACTATTACTTTCATTATAAAATCCAGTCTGACAGAGATTTGGTGCTTAAAATTGAAAACCTTTTATTTTAGTTCATTCATTTTTGCCAGCACTTTGTTACTTTGTTTAGATAAGTTCTGTACAAATAAAGTTATCATTACTATTATGACTAGTGTAAGTTGGGGGATTTTCCTTTGGAAAGGAGTTACCAAACCAGAGGTAGCTGTTCCTTAAGAGCATAAAATATCCTTGAATGACACAAACATATCTCAACCTCGGGACGTTGCCTGTCCAAACTCGGGGACATTACCTGTCCAAACTTGACCAAGCTCGATAGGCATTCTGTTTTTTGTGACAAAATCTGACCCGAGTCGCATGATTTCCTCGATTACAGACAAGTCTCATCAAGAAAATAGCTCAGCCAACGTGGCCAAACCCCCCAATATCATTTCAGTTTTCAAACCCGGCTTGAGTATCCACACTCTTGTTCAGGTACACTACATTATCTACAAATTGGTAGGTTCGATGGTTTCTCTGTTGGATTGTTTTGTTGATGATTCCTCATCAGACATAACTTTGTTTTTTAGGTAAAATTCCCTTCTTCTCTTCTTAAGAACTTCTTCTTGTTGGATGATAACAAAAATATAACCTTTGGTAGTTTTTGCAAAGTTTGGAAGAGGAAACAAGGTTCTTTGTTTGCATTGTAAAGTGCAACACCGCTGCATATTTGGGATCTTATAAATTCATGAGGACTGGGAACATTTCCGGCATGTGCATGAAACCGATAACAAATACTATGACTGGGGGTAAAGATAGCCGGACATAAACAGGGTGGAGATATAAATAAACTGTCAACATACAAAATGAAACCAAAAGAATGAAACAGAGGGGAAGAGAAGAGACAATGACAACAGATTTTAGCTGCAGTTTGTTGTATCTGTTCACCCTGCGTACTGTACATTTTGCAATACCCACCAACCACTGCTCAACCTTGTGACCCCACCACCACCACCACATTACTATGACATGAACTGAGGCCATGCTTTAATTCCTGTCACACATTGAGATTAGCCCTCATTACCCCCACCCCTCCTTCCAAGAGCTAGAAATATCCAGACCTCTAAACCCCAACGTCTGACTGCAGTGAGTTTATCCTTAAAGTAAGCAGTGGAATAAAAAACACAAACTAACATCAACAAGCTGAATGATACCAAACTGTGATCTGGTTCCTCTAATATACAAAATATCAAGAATAAACAAGATTATTGATCCTCAGAGGAAAAGGTTTGGATGATCTTAAGAGACCTGACACACTAAAACTTTTATCTTAAAGTAATTATAACATTGGAAAAGGTTACTTAAATGATGAACTTAAACAAGTCTCAAGAGTCTGTTAATTCATTTTCATGTCATACAGAAATAAATGGAAACCGAATGAAACCAAGTCTAAACCTGTACTGCATTAATTTGAAAATGTTTGTTTTATATATAAACCTGCATCATTTGATGTTTATGAGCTTTGACTTTCACAAGATTAAATTATAAAATCATTTTATCACATATTTTGATTCAGTTGTATAAAGAATATTCCCAAAGACAATAGAAAATAAAATGCAGATAGATCTCACACTAATCGAGTAAAGCGCAAAAGTAAATTGTGTGTTTCACTGTGACCTCTGTGTGACGTGTGTTGAATGAAAGGTTGATGGACTCACATTTTTTTGCAGTGGGGACACTTGGCGAGTGTGTTAAACCGAAGCTCCATCCACTGTGAGGAGACAGAGAAGATACACACTGTTCAGACACAGCATTAGAGAACACACGTGAACACACTACTGTCCTACTGCGCTATAAGAACAATCAAAGGAGGACATACCGGGAACAATCAGACATGATTATCTTATGATAGTTTGCAACTTGTAAATGGATTTATTATTCCTGTATTAGAAAAAAAAAACATCGAGGGGTTGGAAAACTCTATGACTACATGTCAATCAATTGTGTAATGTTAGTTGTGGTTGTCTCATTTACGGTTCTATTAAAAAAAAGCAGTGTTATAAAAATGTTCATCCCATCACAGATCAGCAGGATAAGACGCTCCTATTGACACTAGTTAAATATGTGACTTTTCACATCTTCAGTGAAAGAACGATTTTTTAAAGAGACATATTTTGCTCATAAATTGTGTTGTTACTTCAAAAGGTTTACACGCTCTAATGTTCAGACATCACTTTTCTTATATGTGATGACATGATTATGATGTGGAGGTATCTGATGGGTTGTTCAGGAGCTTCAGGGGCTCCCTTTATTGCTTTTTTCACTTTTACATATGTAAAAAAAGACATATAACACACCAGAGCAAAGAAAATCTTAAAACGAATAATATGTCTCCTTCAAAATAACTTATAATGGAACTAAATTTAAGATGAAAATAACAAACTGGCTGTTCAGAGCCAGATGTGCAAAAAGTCACGTCACCACCAGTGTAAATTAGGCCACAGATTGAGTCAGAGCAGTGTTAGGATGTTTGTTATTAGGACCACCAGTATGACCAGCTCTCTCAACCTGTTGGTGTGCTGGAGGGGAGCCATCGCTGGGCAGGCCAGACATTGGCTGGGATGACCCGGCGTCCTCACTGCCCTACAGACGCCAACAGGCAACAATGTGCAATGTCATCATACGGTCTCACGTTCTGCATTTCCCTTTTTTAAAAGTATCGAGATGTTTAATAACAGTCTGAGTATCCTCGGCACGGGTCGGCAGGATGACAACTTCATTTATTATAAGACTAATCTGCGAAACGCTGGTATGGCTGCAGGTTAGAGGGATATGTTTAATCTCTTGTGACATGTCATGGCAACACTGCACTAAAGTGGCACGTCAGACATTTTATGAGCCAGACAGTTGTTGGGGGGAACATGCAGGAAATGTATGACAGCCACTCGCAGTCACAATATTCTGTGTGTAAAACATGATGGAGGTTTTTTTAACCTTTAAATATACAGTCAAATCCAATGACGTTACAAAAAGCAACATGCTAATATGATTATTCATATGCATGTACCAACAACAACACAGCAACAAAATTCAGAGGTCAACTCAGTGACAAATTGTTGTCAAGGTAGTTTTATGTACCAGGAAGGTGTTGCCACAGTGACCGCAGACCACCCTCATCCCCTGAGGCTGGATGGGCAGCGCCGGCTGAGCGGGCTGCTCCTCTGGGATGACCATCACCGGGCTCAGGTTGATAATGCGTCTGCTGTCGGATTGAACACAAGCCAGGGCAGGGTTATAAAGGGTTCTGATTTCATAAAACTATCAAAGAAGTTGATCGTGTTCCTACGACAAATGAGAGATATGAGGATAAGACAGTCTGACTGTCCCCGCCGTGACCTACCAGTTTGGTCGAGGACATCCTATCCTCCTGGACGTGTCTTTACAGATGAGCAGGCAGTTGCAGGGACACCTAACATACTTCTTCCCTGTTGGGGGATTCTTGATGGGCTGGGAGAAAACAAACAGTATAGTTTATTTTAATACTATACATTATCTCTGCTTATGAATACCATGCATGACTACTAAGATGACCCTTGGTGACCAGATTTACAGGATAATCGTTTCTGAGTGGAGCCACAAGTCTGGACACCCTCGTCTCCCCTACTGAGGCCAGTAGGTCTTCAGCATGTGTCTGTGTCTTATCTCCTGGGATTTCACTGTTCGCTCAGTTCACACATACATAGTTCACTCACACACACCCACATCTCACCTCTTCACGACATCTTCATAAAAGCACACGCCTGGAACTGTTTCATTCTCACTCCCTCTGCAGAAGGCTCTTTGCATGCTGTATGATTGTCTGACCTTCCTTGCACAGAATAAATTATACTTAAAAGACTATTATTCCTCGGATCCCTTTATTTCTGAAGTCTCACCAGGTCACATAGTTCACCACAGTACCAACATCTGGTCGGGCTCTAATGGTCGACATTGCAAGAAAGAGGCCTCCAAGACAAATGGTTTTTACCGACAAATAACGTTTCATCACACAAATTGGTGCTGCACAATAAATCAGAGGTTAACACAGAAGAGAAGAACGACAGGCAGTGACATAGCGTCTGTACTCGACTGACTGTTACAACTGCATGATATCAACACTCGTTCATAAAGCTGTCAGCGGCCTCCACTTACCGAAGCTTCATTGCAGACCGTGCACTTGACCACGTGCTGATGCAGCTTCCCGTCCAGGTTGATGAGCGACTCGCACACTCGGCAGTTGATGACAGGCACACCGCCGGCGTCGGGGCTGGCGATGGCTGTGTAAGGAGGAGGTAGTTCGGCTTTGAGAGGAGGGCAAAGCAGACAACACACAAACAGCTGTTAATCGCATGCGTCTGGAAACCGTCAAGAACAAAGAGCTGGAGTTTTCGTATCATGTGACAGGAAACAGAAGCTCTGATAGAAACAAGTTATGTTGTTAAACAAACAGGCTCAGTGACTCAACATGCAGCTTCTGTCTTCAAAACCGACGACAACATATCATGCAAATTATTTTCCTTTACTCATTCAAACTTATTTAACTTATTTCTGATGTTTTAGTTCAATCATTTAAATAATAAAACAGAAAACAATAGAATGCATGCTCATACAGCTGTGAAACAATACATCCATTACAGCCTCATTGATTAATCTGTTGTTGGCCAATAACAATGGCCCATATCAGCCTTTCATCGACATCAGTATCAGCTTTTATGTTTGTCAATATGTCAACATTTATTTAACAGAGTAATATTTAACATTTTAAAATATATGTTTATTTTCTTAATTCCAATCCTCGTGGAGTTTTCTTTTTTTTTAATAGTTGTTCACAATAAAGATTATAGTTACTGTGAAATATCAATACAATATTTGGACCACTCACATTTCACAGACACTAAACAGTAATATAGTTGATGTTGTGAGCAGCTTTGAAATAAACTACACAATCATCATCAGGATAAAACAAACACAAATGTAACATGGACTTTCTGATTCTGGTCCTACGATCCAAAACAAAGTATCACTCATAAGAGTGTCAGAACTTCCAGTTCTTAGCAGTAACTTATTTTTGAATCTCTGTGACACAAATGTTATTTACTCTTACAACCAACTATCCCCTGGTCTGAAAGCATTGACAGTATCTTACAATCCGCAGGGCTCTTTCCTCATTCATGTTTTTTTCAGCTGCTCTCACTGTATGTGAACCCATGACAGGCTGTGTACAGCTCTGATTGCTCAACATGTGACTTCTCTCTGTTTGTCAGGGGCTAGCTCCACTCTGTATGTTTTAAAGAGAAACAGTCGGCCAAGTGATGCCAATAAATCCACCGGCTGCCAAACTGCAGAAGGAAATAACATGTACCTGAACAATTGAGTTTCATCTTTAGGTCATTTGTCATACCTGTACATGTACTTAATGTAACATCTGTAAGGACATGGAGGCAAATGTAAAAATGCTCTCTGCAACAGTTGCATGTAAAATCTACCCATGAGGCTGGAAATACAGGAATAAGACTCTTGATTTGTTCAGTTGACTGATCAGCTGGATGTTCTGCTAAGTTAAAACATCTCAGCTAATGAGTCTAATAACACAACGGACCATATACGTTAAGAAGCCTTGAACAGCCAGGACCCATGATCCTGGTTTTATGGTCCAAAAACAAATGTAATCAACTCTATCAAATGTCCGACCTTCATGTCTGAAAGTGTTTCTTTCAGACATGAAGAGAACACTTTCTCTTCATGTCTGAAAGAAACACTGTGAACTAACAACACTAGCCACTCGAATTACCTCTGTACTGTTTAATCCCACAGTAACTTGCTGTAATTGGTCTGCATTCCATGTGTTTTAATCAACTTAATACAAGGACTTTCACCAGTCATTAACTTTACTACAGTATCCAAACATATTTCATATTCTGAGGGATATAAAAACAAAAAGAGCCACGCTGACAGTCTCTCCATTCCTCCTCTATCATCCATAAATCTTCCATCTTAAAGGAGGCACATGATTTGCTAATCATCTGTGAAGAATGTGAGAAAAAAAACTAACAATTATTTCCCATTGGCTGTTCATTATTTATTCAATTAGTCAATTAAGGTAAAACTAATACTGTTTATAGATTAAATGTTAAAATATCTATAAATTCTAATCACATCTGCAATTACAGATATGGTGAAATCTAAAGATTTTCAATTGAAACAGAGAAAACACACGTTTGAGAAGCTAAAACCACATGCACACGTCTGATGGAAGGACCGGTTGTGAAAACATGAAAACTGCAGATGAAAACTAGACAGGCACTTATTAGAGAACATTCCGCTGCCAAGGCCCAACACTTCCCTATGAAACCACATTTACATTTACTGGATTTGGATTCTTTATGTAGATCTGCAATTAATTGATTTCAGTCCCAAAAATGACTGATTGTTTTCATCAAGGTCCATGAATTATTCTCTGAGAAATCACCAAAATGTGTCCTACCTCAATGTTGAAGAAAGTGAAAACAAATAGTGAATCCCTGATCTGGAGCCACACCAAAATGTAATGGCTGCTTCCTGCCCCACCCTTCCACAAACTTTCATGGGAATCAGTTGAGTAGTTTTTGCACAATCCTGCAGCTAACAAAGACTAACACAGATGAAAACATAACCTCTTTGGTGAAGAACTAGTGAGCAGGCTAACACTGGCACGTTTACAAAATAATAAAAAGTCATTTCCAGTAATATTAGATAATTGTTTTGATATATGTATAAAATGGTTTGATTTAGACAGAGATCCATCCCAGAAATATAAATAGATGTCCAGTCTCTTATGATGCTTCATACATAAATTCCCTCCTCCAATGAGACGAGTTGAAATCACAGGAACTGAGCAGACAACCCATCATCATTTGGTGAGAAATACAACCAAAGATTTGACACTTGCAGTATGAACAGGCAACACGTGGTGCAGCTTAACAACCCAGCTGAGTCATCCTCTACTATATGATGTTAATCCAGAATGTATGAGTATTCACATCTAAAACTTTTAAATCTAGCGGTATAATCTAAAGTTCTGATCAACATGTCCTCAGCACTTTTCTCTCTCAGGCACCGCCACTGTTTCGACTCTAGTGGAGTGCATCGTCCTGATGCACCTCTGAAACACAATATGGCAGCTATACGTTTTCACCAGCTGTCCCTTGGAGCCAGAGGTAAGACTAGAAGACGCTTTACTACGACCACCACTACTTAAAGCTGCCTGAGCCATGTGTGTTGCTGCTTCATGTGATCATGACATGAATAATGTATGAATGTGAGAACTTAAATGTCTGAGTCAGTTGCTGTGGATATTTTCCTGAGTTTTTCCTGGCAGCCCCCCCCCAAATAAAATGTAGGCATTGTAAGAATGCAGCGGGAAAATGTCTGGAAAATGCAGGTGGGCGTGTTGATGACGTTCGTAACACACAACAGATGCAAAAATATAACAATTAATAATAATACAAATATGGTGTCGACATTCTTTGAAAACAAAGGCCCAGAAAATATGATATCAGGCTTATCCTTCATAAACAATTCTAGATTGAAATGAATTGTTTTAGTCTTTTTGTGAGGTCTATTGAGAGTAAGAAAAATTTAAAATATGACCGACTTCTTCTTTATCTGTCAAACGAGGTCTCCTGTAACTGCAGCACATCCAGAGGAGGTAAATATTACTTTACTATTTTCTGCCATCTTGGACAACCTTTGCAGCCGCCTCTGTTTTTATAATTGGATAAATAAATGTTAAGTCATGATTAGATTGAGCCTTGCACAGGCTTCTGTTTAAGTGCAAAAATATTAAGCAAGTATGGCAACAAAATCCGAGCTTAGTGCCTTGACGCAGCCAACACCACTGGCCCCTCACCAACACCGCACTGTGCACGCTGGAGGACACGGCAGAGAGTGAATCACGACCTGTTACTGCTGAATTAAGTCTGACGGTAAAGAAAAAGTCATCAGGTAAAAGGAGCTGGATTCTTTCCTGCTGACAGATACAGAAAATATAAAGGAGTCAAGCACAGCAGAGATTGAACTGTCACTTCACAAAAAGATTAAAAGTGAATCAAAGCTCTTATTCACTAAAAGCATCTTATCATCATGGTTATTGTGTTTTAGGAAAACATTTCTGTTTGGGCGCTGTCGGCTCAAATTAATCCGTTTTACAAATTGGCTGGCCGAGGATTGTCGACCAACAAACCCAAAGAAACTGGAATTAGCTTCAATCCAGACAGCGCAGACAGAAACTAGGCCGTGAAACATTCTGGCATTCGTTCAAGCTTTTTTTTTTTAACTCACTCATTGTTGTAACATCCAAAAGAGACTTTATCAGTTTACAGGTCATTAGAGTCCAGATTAATCAGTTGTACCGTAAATCCTGTGAGATTCAACTAAAGAACAACATTTTTCTGCATTTTGTTTGCTCGACAGGAGCCGTTTGTCCTGAAATGCTCCGAAAAGAGCATCACACGGTCAATGAATCCATTCACACGTGTGTAGCAGGTCCTCGGAGTGTGGAGGTCATTGTTAATTCTAAAAGAGAACTCGGCTAAAACAAGTCATAAAATCCTCTGACATCAGAGACTGATGTGGATGTTTTCGTACAAACTTTTCTCAAGGGAAGCCTCCAGCAAAAACAAACAGCATGTGAGATTATGTATGTCTCAGAATTCTGAAAAAAAGAATTTGATGAGAATAAACTCAGAGCAAAGGTCAGCCCTTCATGGCAGCAGCTTCCAGACCTACTGGTTTGGGGGGATTTATGATCACGATTAAGATTTATGACACTGTAACCTACATTCAGCTGTTTACTAAGTGGACACTGAGTTTACACTCAATGCTTTTTATGATAGATGCAGAACATGCGAGAATATTCAAGCTGCCTTCAGGAGCAAATGTTTACAGTCCTGCACTCCTGCAAATCAACACACTGACAGCCTCCACTGAACATGAAGCATTTCAGTCATGTCCTGCAATAGATTCAGCCCCAAAAACAAAGGGCACCTCTGGGTATTTTGTTGTTGTGCAGCTGGGAGGAAAGCCTGCTGGCCACAGCCTCTTTCTGCAGTGGGTCAATTCAACCCGTCAATCAACCCACAAAAATAATACCCAACATGCACTGAGGCCTTGCAGCGCCACATCACGACTGGTATTATCTGTGTTTTTGTGATTTTGGATGAAGAGCCTCAGCGGTGCAGGCTCCGGTGGGTCGTGATGGAGGCAGGTCTGCAGTAAAAAGCAGTTCTTATTGTAGGCCCCTCTCCTCCTCTCCTCTCTAACCCACTGCTCCACTTCTCACAGGGGGAAGCTCCACCTTTTTCTCGGGCTGCAGATCGACTCCTCCGCCGATGCCCTCGTCTTTCACTGCTGCAGTTTTATTTTACGCACGAACCCGATACGCCGCAGATATGATTCAGCACGCAGGCAGCCACAGAGGGACATGTCGTGTGTTTACCTCGGGGGCTCGAGTCCTGCAGGTACGGGGGCGCAGTGGGGGTCACGTTCCCGGAGTTGGGGCCCGACAGCAGCGGGGAGCGCTCGTCCATGCCGTCGGAAGCCATGTCAATCGCCGTGAGGAGGGACGGGCGGAGGTGGGAGCTCCGAGTCTTTTGCGCCCAGCGCGGAGGAGCAACCAGCGGCGGATGGTCGGTGGTGCCGAGTTGCTCCGGTCCGGCAGCCCCGGTGACTGCGCGCAGGAGAGGGGAGGAGCTCCGCGCCGCTCCCCGCCCCTCGCCGACATGGCCCTGGGCCCGGGCGGTGCTCTGTGCGGTGATGTGGAGCTGAACACTGCACATCAGGGCACTGTGGTGGAATGTGGTTTAAAAACATGGAATATCTATAAATATGCATAAATGTTTTATCTGGATTTAATTCAGATGCAGCTTGTTCGTGTACAAATAACAACAGATCCCTGGAGGTCAGTGAAAGTTGGGGGAGCTGAGAGAAAGTGCAAATACAAACATCAAAATAAATTCACACATGATTTCTCTGTATTTATTTAAATAGACAACAACGTTTCATAACAAAAAAAAATGAATTTGTGGGAATTGAAGAAACCAGAGATCTGTTTATTTGACCCACTGTTACCACAGATCAGACAGGCTACACAGAAAATACCAGTGAAATGGAACCAGCTTGTATTAACAAAGAATGTCAGGCCCTCTCCTGCTTGTGTGAAAGTTTTTCAACTGATTTGTTTAGTCCCCTTTTTGGCCTTGCACTTATAGTTCTTTGTCACATTTATCAGGCCCTGGGCACAGACATGTTAAAGGCCCCAATAGCTTCTTTAGGGACAACCAAAACTCAAAGAGGCTTAATACAGATACTGGGGACATGAACTGGTTTGTGTTTCTTTGTGCAAATTTTGTGGTCATCCATGGTTGTTGTATGTCTTTTTGGGGATACTGTTACTGTCCCTGTATCGTCTTTTGCATCTCTGTGGGGTCATTTGACTGACGTTCAGATGGTTCTGGCTCAGTTGGACCACTTTGACCCTGAAGAGTGTGCTTATTGGTTTATTTCGATCTTTGAAGTTCAGCCCACACATTATAAGTAACTGAATATAATCCTGTGCAGCGTCCAAACCTTTTTTGTAGACAGTCTATGGTCCAAACAAGCAGATCAAACTCTGATGTTTGTGGTTCTGTGGTAAAAAGTAGTAATGACAAGTCTTTGCCACTAGATGTCAGTGTAGAAACACTGAAGAGGACCTGAGAGGGTCCTAAATATTTGGAAAGTAATTTCTCATCCACATAAAGACACAGAGAGGTTTTTATTCTGTGCACTGCAGAACACTGATTTTGAAATTAATCTAATTGTGCTTCGTTTGGAGACGGTTCATTTCTCTGTTTCTCTTTCTGACGGGTGTAAACCAGCCTGTGCAGCATATGTCACTATTTTTCTGGCTCTTCCGTCTGATGCATTTAAAGACCGACTCGAAACATGACTCAGACATCTTCATCTGAAGAAAAAAACTCACCCTTTGTTCCACAGATGGTTTGAAAATCATTGCCAGGCCTTAAATAACAACATCTGGTCAGTGTGGAGAGGGCTGCTCCACACGGTTTAATCTAGTTTATGCATCCCACTTGATCCTGAGATTAACTATACACACGAGAAGGTTGGTGTTGTGGGCCTCAGGTCCACGCCTCCCTTTGAAATTACGTCACCTTCAGTTACCAGTGCTAAAACATGTCCATTCTTTGTTGCTTATGTCAGGATGTGCGTCAGGCACAGGCCACATGATTTCATTCCCTGGCCACAGATAAACCCAGATGATGTGGATGAATATCAGGATCCCCAACTTTGAGTGTGCAGATTCAGTGCATTGATTTTATGACAGTGAGATCACACAGTGTTTATGTGCAAATGTGATTTTGTACACCTTTTTGGATTTGATTTGAAGGTTTAAAATTGAGCCAGATTCGGTCTCTGTTGGTTTAGTTGAGAACATTGTAAAATGGCTCATAAATTCCAGGAGCATGACACCTCCCACTCCCTCAGCCACTCCATTCATAAGAGTTTTGAGCAGCAGAAAAATCAACACTTCTAAAGAAGAAAGTGCACAAGTTCTTTCTGATCCACATTTTAAACTTGTGCAAACACTCTCTGACCGGCAATGAAATGCAATTTCCCTCATTTCCTGCACAGACTGAGGTTAAGTCATTGCTCTGACTGTTTCACATCGCATGTTATGGGCTGAATTTTTTCCGACCAACCTCATCAGGAACCAGAGGAGCGTCGCAGGACTCACAGGCTGCTGCTTCTCTGGCGCTGGAGTTTTCTTTACAAGGTAAAACATCTACGTTCAGCAGACATGAGTGAAATTAAGGTTTTGTTGTTATGAAAGCGTTGTTTTTATTTGGGTTTAGTGTTTGCAGGGATTAGAAATGGTTCAGCTCCGGTATTTTTCCAAACCTTCTCCTCCCTGCAAACAAAAACAAAACAACAAAATACATGATATATGTGCTGCAAACTTTTCGAGACGTTTATGTGAGTATATCTTAAACGACATATGAGGTTATTGATGGAGAAATATGCGCTGAAATTGCCAGGTTATTTTTATTTAACACAAATATCTGAAGGTAAAATAACCTGTCTGTGCTGATTCAGTTTGATGGACAAGTATAATAATATATTATGCATGCACATACATATTGTACATATACAATATGTATAAAAAAATTAAAATAAAAAAAAATATATATATATATATAAGTAACCAATTCAAATTTGCTGATCTATCAAAATGTTACCCTCTCTGACATGCACAAAGCATTTGTGTTGTTATAAATATATTTAGATGATTAGAAAAGATTAGATTTTTTCTTCCAAACATAAAAATGCAAGTCATCGTTTTGCTTTTGTAAAATGAGCACGGAGATTTGCTCTGTGCATAAAACAATAGCTTTATTACTGGAAAAGACATCACTGGAAAAACTGTTCAGTGGATATGATCATGACATTTTGGCAATGAATGGTTTTTCCATTATGTGTTTCACTCTGGATTTTTTTCTCTTTTCTGAACTTGAATCTGCCTCATCACTTCATGTTTCAGCAGTTTAGAGATGCTCCAGGGGGCAGTGAGCAGGGCCGTGCTCTGCCTGTCCTGCTGCCTATTGTTGGGGGTCTGCCTCCCAGCAAAGGCTGCAGGACCAGCTGGCCCCCCTCCTTACATCCCCCGTGAAGAAGAGTCTGGGGAATCAGACGTGGAGGACTTGGAATGGGGTTCTGGATCATCTCTCCTGCAGCTGCTTCAAAGCTTCCCTGCTGACAGTCCCTTCATAACAGAGACCCCTGGAAAACCGGTGAACTGCAGCCAGAGATTCTGGTTGCCACCGTCCTCTGCAGTGTGCTGGGAAAACATAGCCGAACCTGAGGAGTTTGCCAAGTCCCGTCTGCAGGTTCTGCAGAACAGGGCCGCCCTGCAGGCCGTGTCCACCACCAGCGGCGTGGAGGAGGGAGGGATCTCCTTTGACCATCAAGCCAGAGAGGAGGTGGAGGGGGTCCGCTCAGACCACTTGAGTATGGCAGAAACTATGCAGACCATGGAGAAGGTGTTTGTGTCACTGGAGGAGAAGAGGAAGGAAGGGAAGGAGCATGGGGTCCTAACAAAGTAAGATACATAGAACAATTAACCATTTACATCTGTGCTACGAAGGAATCTCAAAAATGTTCCTAAATGTGTAAAGGTTATTTGAAGTCATACAAAATGAAGCTGCCAGGAACTTAACATTACCAATGTGTATGTTGGACATCTAAATTTATCTCGAAAATCCTAAATGAAATTACACCATGGCTGTTGTTTTACACGCAGTTAAAAAAGACTGTTGTTAGAACCTACAAGTACTTTGATTAAGTTCATTTTAAAAGCTGTGAACATGACATATCTGTCATTTGCTTGTTGCCATCATCTCTTCCAGCATGAAGGAGCATCTGTCCAACACCAGAGACACCATCAATGTCAGAGAGCACATGGTAAACCACCTGGAGCAGCAGTTTTCTACGTTAGAGGAGACTCTGCTCAACATGCAGCTGCGACTCAAGAAACTCATACGACAGTGACGATTTCACGGACCCGCTGCCTCTTTTTCTGCTTTTATCCGAACTGAATTTATCATTTTACATATTGAATAACGATGTAGCAAATGCATGGCCCTCTCAGGAATGTGTATGTCTGTCGTATGATGACAAAACACACGTCATAAGCACATTATGATGTCGTTTATTAACAACAGTAAAAAGTGTAACCTGAAATTTGCTGGGGATCATCTGGGAGTTTTAATGAAATCCAGTTTTGTATAATCAGTTTGTAAACATGATCCATAAGAGTTTATAGTCACATTAATGGGCTTTAATAAAACCATAAGACACGAAAATAAGACTTATTCAACTTTATTTTATTATCAAATCTAAACACCACTTTTGTAAAGGAGGAAATGCCTGTTACACACCATATGTGAGGCTGAGGGAGAATTTTCATTTGGAATGACGCAGCATGTTCAGCTGTTCTGTAGTGAAGCTACAAAATAGAGGTATTTATGACCATTGGAATCACAACTCAAGGGCGTTAGGAAAATATATATTTTTTTAAATGATAGTATCATGCATAATGTTAACATCAGTGCATTTCACTTGGAAACCAGTGTTAGACAGCATCTCGAAAATAACTTGTTTATATTTTATTATTTTAGAGGCAATGATAACTGCTGAGACAATTATGTGGAATTAACTATGTTCTATGGAAGGGGGTCTGCAAATGGGTGGGAAAAGTCAACTTACCATTCCTCATAGTTATATTATATATAAAATAAGTCTTTTAGGATAACAGGCCACATGAAAAATAATTTCTTGCTCCAGATCTACTGTTTAAGTGGACCACTAATGAGCATTAACAATACTTTTTCATTAGCAGTATTTTTAACGGTACTCTCTATGGAGATAATCAGCTCTGCAGTTAAGTTAAGGGGTGGTTGCATTAAGACTCATCTAAGGCTGCCTTGTTCAGGGCGGTAATACAAATTCACCTTGCTGGCATCCATTTTTCATCATAGACATACGGTACAGCTTCTAGTTTCCTCTATGACTGTGTTTGTTTCAGCGCTGTGTGGCTTTACTTTCAGTTCCACATCTTATAACTTTTCCAACAAAGCCCGACAGCTGAACTCTGTCAATGTATTAAAAAGCACTGAGAAAGTTCAGGGTGTCTCTTCTGCCCGTCACTTCAGTGAGAGGCAGGACTTGTATAACTGATCCATCTGGATGTGAATTGCAGTCAGTGTACTTTGTTTAAAAGTCAGCATCCTCATCTTGCATTTCCTCCAAAGATCTGAGGTAATCTCGAGCCAAGATCTTCTTAGGCAGGATATCTGTGGGTTAAAAAGACTGTATTAAACTTATGACTGTTTGACTACTTGGGTGTACGATATCCTTCCTGTTAATGGGAGAGAGCAGACATCGGCTCACAACATCTGAAACGTCAGACATTATCCACATCCTACTTATTCCATGGTTGATAGATCAAGCAATGCAATAACAACAGTTTATTTCAGGGGTCTCAACTGCTACAACTAAAAAAATCAATCCTCCAAAAGTCTGGTCAAAGGTGTGATGATGGAAAAACAACACACACATCCAGTGAAAACAACCTAGAATGGGTGAGGGATCAACAAAACATTCAGGAGAGAGAAAATCTGTACACATAAAGTTCCAGCTACAGAATTGATCCCCCACTGATGTTTCTAGCACATTGTTTTAGAGCGGTGCCACATTAATAACGTTTGATAGGATGATCACACCAGCACTGATATAAACTCAGAGGGGTTCCAGGTGACACTCGTGTGTCAGTGTTACAGGGTCAGATCTGATGCTTCACCTCCGTCAGACAGCAGCCGCATCTCACCTGTGAGAAAGTGTAAAGTCTCGGTCTCCTCCGCGTTGTTAGCCAGGTCGCTGTAGGACAAGGACTTGGTTTCCTTCCCGGATCCGTTGTTGAACGAAGAGAGAGCGAGATGCTGCACAAACAGCTCCTTCAACAACAACGACAACAACAACACAACAAGTCAGCAGAGGAGAGACTCACAACGAGCTGCTCCTGGAGCTCAAAGAGAAGCCTCCAGAGGCTAGCGGGGCTAACCCCAGTTAGCAGCAGCAGCAGGTGGGTGATCTGAGTTAGCATCGCGGGGGTATTAGCTTAGTGAGCATCAGCTTACTGTGGCCTTGGTGGTGAGGACCAGAGCGTCCTGGTTGATGCTGGAAACATCCGGGGAGCTCTTCATGATCAGCCTCACCCTGGAGATGGGGAGGGAGATGGTCTTTTTGAGGTCGTCTTTATTTTGAGACATTTTCACGAGGACGCGTCGCCGCTCAGCCGGAACTTCTACTATTGTTTTGAACACTGACGCGTTAATTCTCCCCCTTCAGTGGAACTGTAAACTGTGGTAGTAGCGGCTGTCAATGTGGATTGCTGCCCCCTGCTGGACCGGAGGCGCGTTAATCTGAAAACCATTTTGTTTTTATATTTTGGTCAAGTTATATTAAATAATATAATTATATGAAATGATGTCTTAGATAAGTTCAGGTTGAAATGTTGAAAGGCATATTTTGTTTTATTGCTTTTGTATTTGAACACAAAGTTGGATTCTGTTTTTGTTTGTGTTTCCCCTTACATTGTGTTCTAGTGTGTCAAAACGATTTTCATTGAGTTTATAAAGTGTCCAACTGAAAGCTTAGAAGTAACAAATTCTCATTGTGTTCAAAATAATTTTAGTATGTAATGGAATCATTCTTGCAAAACAAAATCTCTAAGAGCCACTATGTATAAGATATAAAAACAAATCTATCTGTTGAAGGTTATTTACAAATGCCCACTCTGAATACATAGTGTCTCTTTCACTATGTTAAAAAAACTATCTAAATAAAATAACTTTAAATAAAATAAATTCAGAATTTCCTTTCACCTCCACAAAACTGATGCGCGGGGTCATCCGGTCCAGCGGCGGCGCTCGACTCCGGTCCAATCCCAATGCACCGAAGAAGAGCGGACGACACAGGCCAGCGCACAAGAAGAAGAAACACTGGCGCTCAGCAATGGCGGTGGTCTGGTGACACAAAAACAAACCAGTGTGTTAATGCGGTTGTTAGGATCGTCAGCGGCCTCATGTCGTAGCTGGGCGTGTGGGTGTGTCTGCAGCAGAGAGGACCCCGCGTCTCCGTCTCCTGTTCTCGGACACTGATGTCAAACTGCTCGCTGCTGCTCATTGTTCCGCACTGAACCGAACGCGTCTCTCCGCGCCGACGATGCCGCTGGGTCTGAAGCCGTGCTGCGCCGTCTGCAAGACCAACTCCTCGTCTATGTGGAAGAAGGGGAACCAGGGGGAGATCCTGTGTAACAGCTGCACCGGGAAGAGCAGCGTCGGAGGCAGCGCAGGAGGAGGAGGAGGAGGAGGAGGAGGCTGCGGTGGAGGCGCTGGAGGAGCATCGGGACCCTCCATGTCCTCCAGCATTCTGCCCAGCAATGGCGGAGGGAAGCAGGTTGGTTCCTCTATAGAGATGCGTCTCTCCAGCACAATCAAAAGAAAAGAGCTGCATATTCGAGGTGTTGGTGGATCGTGATGGTGGAGGCAGCTGATCGTGGACTGTGTTTACAACAAGACTCACATACTCCACCATTACTGACAGTAACTCTTCAATTCATTTGTCATTGCTGCTCCCTTCATCGCTATCAGATATTGTCTTATGTATAAATACTTGAACACTGACTCACCTTTCCATTGGGTTACAAACTTCTAACAATCTAATCGATGTTGTAAGGACTGTTATTTTGTTGATGTGTTCCGTTCCATCTGTTACACTTCCGTCTGTCCTGGGACAGGGATCCCTCACATGTCTCTCTCTGAGTTTTCTACGTTTTTTCAACTGTTAATAGTTTGGGTTTTTTTGTAGTTTTTCCTGACTCTTGTTGAGGTTTAAGAACAGAGGATATTGCACCTTGTTATGATCTATGAGACAAATTGTGGTTTGTGAATATAGGCTAAACAAATACAATTTGATTTATTGATTTGAATGTGAATAGACAGTGATGCAAAATGTTTCTCTTGTATAGAGAAAACTGTTATTTTGATGATTGGTAGAAATTAAAGTAATGTAGTCTAAGAAACAATAGCTACACTGTAGAACATTTGAAGTATAATTTATTTATCTGATGTGTGTTGTTTTTATGTCTTTAGAGCAAGCAGGAGATCCACAGGAGGTCTGCACGGCTGAGAAGTACCAAGTACAAAGCTCCTGCATCTGAGAAGAAAGTGTCCACTAAGGGAAAAGGAAGAAGACACATATTTAAACTTAAAAACGTAAGACTTGTATTTGATTTGTCAGCTTTATGATGATGATTATTTCTGTTATTCTGTCTATGAGTTTATGCATTTAACTGTTGTGTGTGTGATTTCTTTACTCAGCCAATCAAAGCACCAGAATCAGTTTCAACAATCATCACGTCCGAATCTGTATTTTATAAGGTATGGTGTTTATTCTTACCAAGGAAAAATCATTTCATTTCAATATAAGAAATGATCACACTGATTATCAGCATTTCCTCATCTTCTAGCAGCTTTAACCACCTTTGTCGACCAGATTTCCTGTGTATTCATCATCTATCTTTGTACCAACAGGGAGTTTATTATCAGACAGGAGACGTGATCAAAGTAACAGACGAAGATGACGGGAAGCCGTACTATGCTCAGATTCGAGGCTTCGTTCAGGACCAGTACTGTGAAAAGAGCGCAGCACTGACCTGGTTAATTCCCACACAGTCCAGCCCAAAGGACCAGTTTGATCCCGCGACATACATAGTTGGTGAGCAATGCAAAATGAGAACCGAGTTATGATATTTTTCTGCCTGTAGTTTCACTTATTTTTTGGGTCTGTGTTTTTTTTGTGATCCAGGTCCAGAGGAGGATCTCCCCAGAAAGATGGAGTACCTTGAGTTTGTGTGCCACGCCCCCTCTGAATATTTCAAGTCGTGGAGCTCGCCCTTCCCCACCATCCCGATCCGACCAGAGAAAGGCTACATCTGGACCCACATAGGAGCCGCACCGGCCATCGCTGTCAAAGAGTCTGCGGGGGGAAGCAGTTAACAACAGGACTCTGATATGAACTCGCTCTGTTGCTTTTAAACAGACATTTGTATATTTATGTAATATAATAAAACAAAAATGGTTGTGAAACCATTGACACTGAAGAAACCAGCTGTAACCACATTTCAAAAAGCTTCAGCATTGGAATATTACTTTTGTATTTAGTAATTAAAACAATCTTGTTTCCACTGTCTTGTTTGTGATTGTTTAAAAATATACATTTATTTAAAAGTTGAAAATCTCTGTGCACAGCAGTGCTTCTCCTTGGTGCCAGCCAGTGCAAGACCAATCACAATAAGAAAGTAAAAGAAATCCACCAGGATTGACATTAATAATAAAGCTTTTACAAAACACTTAGTTGTTGCTGAATATTGTTCAACCTTTTTTTTTCTCACTACTTTAGATGAAAAGTAAATGAATAATTATGTGCAGTCTTTGCCCTTTTTCCATTATTTTTTTGCTCCAAAGTTGAAATGTTTTATGGTCACGATTCATCGGCCTTGTTCTGGGATCAATGATTTTTATAAAAGATTTTCTGAAACTGAAAATGTACACGATTTTTTTTCTTCCTGAACTGCAGCCATTCTACAGGTGAGCAGCCACTGTTACGCAGTTCTACAAATGTCACTGATCAATCATATCATCTCATATAGACTTAAACATGAAAGTTTTAACATTCGTATGAGTCTTTTACTTTTATTTATTTTTAGTGCCATTTTTGATATACAACGTGAACGACTGCAAATTAATTATACTTCGTCTCAAAACAAAGAAGCCACAAAGAAACTTCACATATTGGTCTTATATAGCCAACAGAATAGGAGGCAGGAAGTGTGCTGAGGGGAGTTCTCTTGCTCTGACTCTACACTCTTTGATAAACACCCCAGTCAAACCAGACAGAGAGAGAGAGAGAGAGAGAGAGAGAGAGCGAGGTCTGATGCTCAGTAACATCAGGCTCATTTCTCCTCTCATGAGTTGGACATTATGAGTTTTCATTGATGAAAAAGGACAGAAAGGAATATGGGCAAGTTACATTCCAAACTTGGTGAGAATTTACATCAAATCTGACAGTTTTCAAATTAAATACCAACTATCTCACATCACATTCACTTGTCTTTACTTTTCCCAGCTTTGAAACGCAGACAGAGTCCTGAAGGTGAGACTATTATTGCATCACATCCAACTACTGTGCACTGACTTCAACCATGTGACTGTGTTGTTTTTTTATATGTATTTATTTTCCTTATATTTAAATTCTGCAGGTGATAGTCTGGCCCCCAGTGTGCTGACTTGTCAGGGAGAGCTGGAGCACAAACACAGAGGCAAACTGACAGAGGTAGAGATTCTTTTCTTATTGTTGTTATTATTTATGAGTACATTGCTGGTGATGAAATCTGGTCACATGATGATCACAGACGTTTAATATCTGATTAATTTAGATTTTGTAGCTTCTAAAAAAATAATGATCATTATAGATGTATCTGGGGGGTGTTTTTCCTCATGTGAATTTATCCATATGTGCATCTTAGGTAATATTATTTAAATTACTTCACTTGGCCTTAAATGGATTATGAGTAAAACCTCCAGAACAACATTATACATGCATAGGAGCTGCACAAGTAACCCACAGAGCTCAGATCTCATACTGCAGAATTAAAAAACAAGTAAAAACACAAACTTTGGCAGCCTCGTCATGTACTGCTTTAAATAAATGTCACTGCCCGCAGCTTTTGGACGAAACAGTGTCGGCTCACATCTCTTCCAAGAGACATAAAAGGTGTATGGAGGCATAGTCGCCTATATCATCCGCCCCCTCCTCCGCCCTTTCTCTATAAAGAGACTTTCAAGTCTGTGAAGTGCAGCTCAGCCACTACCCTCCTCCAAACAGCCAGCTCTTTATACAGGAGTGCACTGAAAGGGGGAAAAAAGTCTCCACATCTGGAACTGCTTTCCTTCTCCAGACAGAGTGTGGTGGGGGGTGTTTGGATGTGTGGTGGGCGAAGGGTGTGTGTGTGTGGGGGGGGTGTTTGCTTGCGTAAATGGCATTACAAGTAGACTTTAATGAGACCCTCTCATTCTGGGGCTTGGAATCAGAAGTTGTTTTCTAATAATCCTCATTCTTGTCTTTATTCCTCAAAGACTAAAAGCTGGTGACAGTCACACACTCTCAAACACACTGATTTAATCTGTGCAACCAGATTTATTATGGTGGAAGTAAATCACAGATGTTTCCATGTGCTTCCAAGGATCACAGGGTTGGGTGAATCGTAAATTCATTTTAGCACTTGTCTAAAATAAATATAACAAAGACATGTTCACTCCTCCTCACTAAATACAGTCTAATCTTCTATAACTGTAATCATGGGATCTGTTGTGAGTTATCAGCACTTTTGTTGTTTTAAAGTTCAGAGGATACACGTTTATTTTGTACCATGTTACACAAACGTTCTGGAAAATTGTGTAGTTGTACGGGAAAAGACGTCAACTCCAAGTTGTGTAAAGGTTGGCAGTGGAGTTTCTGTGAGTGTTAATAGCAGAGTGCTTCCTGTGGTTACATTTTCCAGCCTATTATAGTTTGATTCTCCATGACACTGCTGCTGTAACACTGTGAATGGCAAGTCTGTCAGTTTGAGTGCTGTATGAACTCTGTTTTTCCAACATTAGAAATAAGACTTAAAATGTAGGTTTTAGTAAAAATCGTTTTTTTTAAATAAGATGTGATTGATCAGTGATTTACATTTAACAGAACATTGAATCTCAAGTCAGGTCAACGTGTCAACAGCTTAAGTGGACAAACTCAAAAACATTAAAGACATGGATCTTTACTCCTCGTTCTCCTCTGCTGTCCTTAACTTTTATTTTGTAGTCACTGCTTCATCTGGTATCATATGATCAGAACTGATATTAATTATTATAATGATTATTATTATTATTAACAGTTTCCTTGAATTACTACACACCACAAGTTCAAGGATTGTTCAATGGGATGTGAAAAGTCACTGAATCACTTCCTCTTTCTCTCTTTCATGTTTCTCACAGAACTTGTGCAAGTCCGACCATAACTGCAACCTCAAGGGTGAGTACAGAGTAACATGCATTATAATGATATATCGCTCCCTCCTTATTGTGTAGATTCAGAACACTACCAGTTTGGACTTCTTTAAAAACAAAGATTAAATGAATTACAAAGGGACAGCATGTTAACACAATAGTGCTAACAGCTACTGTGTGGCCTTGAACGAGCAATCCAAGGAGGATATCATATATTGTAACCTGTACATTTACAAATGTCAAATCTCTGCAATAATTAACCATTTTTTTCCTAATAGTAATAACTGTTGTTGTGCCTGGTTATGTGAGTCTGACAAATATTGTTACTCACAATTCATCTCTGTGCGTTTCTTAGTAGTTTTGCCAACAAAGACGACACATGACAAGAACAAGAACATTTCCTTCTGGGTCAATAAAGTGACAAAGAAGAAGAAAAGCAACGCTGGTGTGAGTGTTCATCTTAATGCTTCTGACCAATGGATTGTGGGATTTCTTTTGCAGGATATCAGATGACCGTGATTCACATGTGTCTGGATAATTAGCATTTTATCAACCAGTGACCTTTTGTCTCAGGTGAATCTCCACCAATTAAAACTATACTTTACAAGCTTGTGCAATGGAAGTCGATACAAGCCATGATCTAAACAAGCAAGCAACACATATACAGACACACTTTTATAAACACATGCAATAACACACAAAAGGTAATTGTGCGAGTGTTTGTTTGCTCGTGTGTGTGCCAGAATGACTTTGTGAATTAGTGAACTACAAATATCATTACAGCGGCACTGAGCTTGTTATTCTTACACTATGTGCATGTACAGGACACACAGTGCGACACTGTGCTGGAGGACGACTCTCAGCAGACGTGGGTCTTCACACTGTACAATTTTGACAACAGCAGCCACGTCACAAAGGAGGTCACTTACTTTCCCCGTTTTTTATCTAAATAATTTAAATTTAAGTTTCTCTGTACACATTGTGCGTGTGTGTGTGTGTGTGTGTGTGTGTGTGTGTGTTCTGCAGGGTATGTCCAGTCTCATATACTCCATGTCTGAGGTTCTGGAGGCCTCTGTGAAGCAGCCTTGTTTGGACAACACACCCCTGAAGATCAAGCTCGCAATAACTCCCTCAGCCGACCTAGAAAAGGTTTCACAAACAGGTAGAATTAAAACATTTTGCCATGGCTCTCCAAACCAACAGTGTAACATGTATAGAGGAAATAATGAGGATTGAAAGAGACACTTTGCCAAAACTGTTGCCTGGCTCAGAACTGTAGATCATGCAGATTATGATTTGATGATTTGATGGTTTTGTCTCTCTCTTACTGAAAACAGCCACAGAAAAGGAGCAGCGAGCGTCTCAGGAGGCTGGAAGCCCGGCGAGGAAACTTTACTGTGTGGATGAAAACATCGAGCGCAGAAACCACTACCTGGATCTAGCTGGCATTGAGAACTACACCTCTAAATTCGACAATACAGGCACAGAAATGACTCTTTTGTTATGATGTTTGCAGACATCAGTATGTTAACAGCTCACATCATTAAAAAGTTCTAATTAGATTTAACTGAAGTGAGTTTTCCTCTTTTTTTCCAGAGTCTCCCTGTCTGGACCCAGGCCAGCAAACTCAATCTGCTTCTCAGCACCAACCAGTGGCAGGAAGGGCGCACTGCATCTCCTCAGAGGCCCCTGGAAGCCCCTCAATCCTCCATTCTCTCAAAAATAAGCCAGTGTCAGTGGGTAAAGACAGGAGCAGAGGAGAGGGAAAGTTCTGCAGGCTGCATGGCCAACATCCAGCCTCGTGGTGCCATCCTACCCAGTCTCACCCCCCAGTAAATAGTCCCCCCCATCTTACCCACAGCAAGAGGCTTCGTTCCAGGGTGCAAGATGCTCCTCCGCCCCTGAGACATCCTGGTTCCCAGCTCCAACCAGGGGAGGAGAGGGAGAGGCCAAGTAAACTTCATCTCTCCGGTGGGGCCCAGAGACATGAGCATCATCACCACCACGAGCACCATCATCATCATCATCACCACCACTACCACCCTTCATAAACGGATTCCAAACACATGAAACTGATTCAGGGGAGAAGAGTTCCACACACTAGGTCCAGGAAGGTCAGGTCATTGTCGACTGAATGACATGTTTAACGCACTTTAAATTAACAGTTTCCTCTCAGGTAGAATATAAAATGTAACGGTGCACTGCATAGGGTTGTATAATGCTTTTATTTTGAAATCCTCCCACTTGTATTAGTCTTTACAGTACAAGTCACATTTGCCCATTCACACAGACATGCATATAGCACTAATATACGTGCTAATATATATGCTGCACTACTATTGTTTTACATGTAGACTGAAGGGGCCAGTGGATAACCTGCTCTATCTCCTGGGCCACGACACCTGTGTCTTCTCTGCTTGATGGTACTAGTATAATGCTAAAATTAAAACACATTATGTCTGTCATGTAAATGTTTTAGATCTGTTAATTTATTCTGACATGATGATATATTTATTTTCTAGAATATTAATTCAACCATAATTTGAACAATTCAACTTTTTAAAGTTCACACTTCATATAACAATCTGAAAAAATCAAATGTATTTTTCTCTTTTTGTTGATGGCTGTATTTACTCAATGTGAGCAAAAGATTCAGAGGAAATAAATCTCCTCAAACAGAAAAAAACTGATGTTTGAGTATTTCCTCATTTCTGGGAACAATATGTTGTTTGTAAAAGTAATAGAAACTCTGTTGTAACAATAGGACACATTTCAGATGTCAAAAACAATGTCAAACATCTGTTTTTTTTTCATGCCAGGGACAGCCAGTGACTGGAGACATTATGTTTTCAGGTTGTCTGTCCATCCCATTCTTGTGAACACGATATCTCAATAACGCCTTGAGGGAATTTTTTAAAATTTAGTACAAAGTTCAGTTGGATTATGAAATAAACTGATTAGAACTTAGAGGTCAAAGGTCAAGATCACTGGGACAACACAAACCCTTTTTGCCTTATGAACTTATCTGAAGAACACCTCGAGAAAAATGTATTGAGGACTGAAACTGCATTGGTTGGCAGAGGCATAAAACAGTAGAGCAGGATTTTGTTTTTTTGATTGTCTCATGTCTCCACTGACACAAGCCTCAGTAGAACATGATGTACACTTTTAGAGGTAAAATATTTTTTTCTGAAGTAATTTTCAGAAGAAAACAAGTTTAGTCTTTTATTTAATTTTGTTTGTTTCACTATATTTGGATTGATCCTGTGTTGCATTTCTATTTCTGCTCTCACATTGTTTTCTATGGTCATTACAGCTTGTGTGTGTGTGTGTGTGTGTGTGTGTGTGTGTGTGTGTGTGTGTGTGTGTGTGTGTGTGTGTGTGTGTGTGTGTGTGTGTGT